CCTGAAACAAAGAGGCCGTACACAGTAATCCTTATCGAAAGAGCCATGAAGGATATTCACTACTCTGTCAAACCACACAAGAGCACAAAGCAGCAGGTTTGTTTTCTTGCAAAATCAGCTTCTGCTCAGAGGTGTTGTCCTCAAGTGTCATTTCTCTATTAGAGTCACAGAGGCACCAAAAAAGCCCCGGAGTCTGGAGCCTGAGGGATGGTTACTTTGCTCGCTGGCAGTTGAATGCTGGATACAAGCAGCCTCTGAAACTCCTGCAGTTTGTTTTCTAATGATTCAGGAAGGGAGAAAGAGATAAATTAATTAAAGCAGCAACAGTGATATGCCTGGAACAGAAACAAGTTTTATCGTTTATTTTAATTGAGGTGGTAAATCAGGCTTTGCAGCTGAGCCGTGTGGGTTTCCATAATTCTGCAGTGTGACTGCTATTGAACATTCTTTCAGACAGTTTTTTTAGTATTTGAAGTGATCACAAACAGCAAGAACTCTGCCTTTTCTTGTTAATCTATCAAAATAGCATAACTGCAAACTCCCTGCAGCAGTGGCAGTGATCAGTACTGAGAAATGTGTCTGAAGCTGATGCAAAGGGTTGGAGATTGTGATCTGTGCGGTGTTTTTTATGCAGGTGTGTAAATGTTCTTTCTTCTTAATGTCTTTACAGGCACTGGAAGTGATCAGACAGTTAAAGGAGACCATGCAAATTGAACGTGCTCACATGAGGCTGCGATTTATCCTTCCAGCAAAGGAGGGGAAGAAACTGAAAGAGAAGCTCAAGCCACTGATTAAAGTTATTGAAAATGAAGACTTCCATGAAGAGCTGGAAATTGTAAGTGATAAAGCAGTCTTTGGGTTTCCTGCGTAATGTGACTACAGCTGTACAGTTTACTAGGTGAATTAATAGATAGAAGTTGTTTAGATAAACTGCAAGTTTCCCAAAGATTCTAAATTAGAGATGTACTTTGTAGTTTTAATTCCACATGATCCTAGTGATGTCAGCTTGAAAGTGGCCTTTATTATGCAGAGTTTGCTGCTTCAGGCTGAGGAGAAGCAGAGTGTAATTTCTCTTAGCAGTGATTCTCCTACAACACTGGTAAGTTTCTGTGCAAATATGGAATGTTACTCTTATTTATTTGGTGGGTCAGGCCTGTATTCTAACAGTGGTTAATTAGTTTCTTAAAAAAATAGTCTGTGGTAAAGCAAAATTTGGTATTGCTAAAAATCTTTCTGAGACCAGATTAGAATCCAGCTGTCAAAAGCCATGTCCAGCCTGGGGAATGGAACTGCAGAACTTCTTTTGAAAGATTACTTGATAGAAATTGCTTATCAACTCTGCAAAGTCGTTTTTAGTAACTAAACAATTTTTTTACATTAAAATTAAGGTTAGACCTTGAAAAGGGGCTGATGAAAATCGAATATTATTGCTTGACTGATGAAATGTGAAATATTTCAGGTGTGCCTTATTGACCCAGGCTGCTTCAGAGAGATTGATGAGCTGATCCGGAGTGAGACAAAAGGGAAAGGAACACTGGAAGTGCTCAGTCTGAAAGATGTGGAGGAAGGAGATGAAAAGCTTGAATAACGAAAACCATCCTGGAGCAGTTCTACTTTAACAACATCCTACAACATGACTGGTGTTAGCCACTCTCTTCTGTTCGGCCTTCATGTTTTTTCCAATCTCTTGCTGCCAAATATTTTCTGACACTAATCCTTTGGGATTTTTCCATGCAGTGTGTGGTTTTTTTAATCATTTTACACTTGCTTGGTTTACAGATGGGTTTGCCTGTAGGAACATTCTGTGTCAGAGTTGCACTAACAAGGATTGAGTTAAGGTGTGATACAGAAGTTGCTCTAACTTTGGTTTATTTTAAGGGTTGCTGTTGATGAGTGTTAGACTGATATGCTGCCAATCATTTTGACTTTAAGTTGTCAGTGTTGAGTGGAAGATTGCATATGTCCCTGAGGATTTTGTATGTGAGGAGAGGAACATTAAGAAGGAGTTGCTTTTTCACTTCCAATCAGGTGCAAAGTGTGGATCGTGTCTAAACCGATCTCGTGGCACCATGAAAACCGACTTAGACTTCCATAATTGTCTGCTTGGTAATTAGAGTACTTTAAAGGACCACTCTTAAAAGATTTCTTTCGCTGGATGTAACAGTACTTACTGACTTAGAAAAAATATTCTCCAAATAACTTATTCATAAAATATATTTAGCTACATTAATAAAAGTGAATTATTGTCTATTTATATATTATTGATACAGAAAGAACCAAAGTAGTTATTTTTGTGAAGAGTATAGGAGGTAGCTCTGGCTGTCGTGATGCTTTTTGGAGGCTGAATACATAGCCTGCATTTCTGAGCTGCTCTTGTGCACGTGGTCAAATGAATCTTGAACAGGCAGTGGTGGCCTCTGGCTGTGAGCTGGACGGGCTTTTGTTGGACCCTCATTCCCCAGCAGTAATTGTGTGCACCACTTTTTAGTGCGATAGAGAACAATTCTGGCAGCTGTCCTTTATCCTCTGTCTTTTGATGCTGCTCTTCAATACATGCACAGAATTTCCAGCCAGCTTCTGGGCACGGTCTTAGTTCTTGATAATTCTGTGCGATCGTGTTTCAGCTGTGTTAAACAAATGCTTTTAAGCTGAACATGTGTATTTCAAAGAAGAGGGTATGAGAGGACAACACTAGAGAAGGAAATAGTAAAAATGCATGCCACCAGGCAAGGTGTATGGATGTGTGTGGATGTAGCCTCAGTGTGGAGATCTGTACGCGCGCGGACAGATTGGCAAGATTCCTGGGGCATACAAACTCTTACCTGCTTGTCTTTCAAATGGCCGTCTCTCCACGCATACTTTATGAAGCACTGGAGATGATAATGTTGATATTCAGCTTGTCACTGGCCACTCACGCTAATGTGCAATTCATAAAGCTGCGAATGAGACAGAGTAGGAGCCTCAGATGATATTATGTTGGTAATACTTGATTTCACAGTCATATTTTTTTTTCATGTTCAACACCCAGAGCACAACAGAATGGCTGCAGGTTTCAGATCTTGAGTTACAGAAACAATCTAAGCTGATTTACGAGCTTGGTGCTAGGAAGGAAATTTCCTTATAAAGTCTTTTTCCACAAATCATATTAATTTTCTTTGGAAGAGGGAGCTTAGTTTTATTTATCAAAAAATAAATGTACATGTTTGCATTTCTTGTCATATTTGTCATTCAGCAAGAATGTATGGTAAGCATCAAAATAAATATCAGTATTGGCAGCTGGTTTGTCCTTGCCCGTTTCAACAGGAGAGTAACTCCCTGCCCAACTGTCTCCTGACTAGCTAAGTGAAATCTCTGAAGGTATATGTCTAGGGAGTGATAGACTCCTCTTGGCATTTGACATCAGCTGGCAGCTTCAAGGCAAGCGCTGGCAGTGTGTTTGCCTCAAACATTTGCATTCCACACTTCCTCTGATTAGCCAGGAGTAGGACAATTGCCATCTTAAAACCTTATGTTGGGTCCTGAACCCTGGGCGTATTGGGGACACCAACACCCCTGGGACATGGCGCTGGCCCCTTCCCTGCTGCACCCGACACCCCTCCCCATGCACAAGGGCTGTAAATCCAGCTGCACATCCTCCCTGCAGCCGGTGAGCGCTTGTTATTCCCTGGGGTGAGTTTTGCTGAAAACCCGACAGTCCCTGTAGCTGCAGTACTCACCCCAGTAAGAGTTCTGGTGGCTCCGCTCCCCTCACACCTCTGCTCTGCTGCTATGGCATTTTGACCAAGTGCACCATGACCGGGCTGTTTTCCCTGTTTCTGTATGAAGTCTTCAGAAGTAGGAGAAGAAAGAATTGCAAAGTGCATTTTATGCTTTTAATACTTTTTTTTTTTAATTGCGGTAAGTTCTAAATTATGCACAAGTTTAATGTCTTTCAAACATCTACACTACTAGTAAAGTAGAAATCAGTTTTGATATTTCATGACACAGGAGATTCAAAACCCGCTGAGGCCCATGGAAAGATGTACGCAGACTATCATATATTTTGAAGCAAGTACAGATAGAATAAGCTTAAGTGACTTCAATGAACTCAGTGTATCAGTCAGTACTCGCAATGTTTTTGTAGGAGAATCTGATTAAATATGTATAAAATTAATTTTGCTATTTAGTAGAACGGGGACACTAGACAACAAAAATAAAAGCAAGCAAACAAAAACATATATAAAAAAGGAACATTAGCTAAAGCAGGACAAAGTGATCAAGTTGCTCATTTCCTCCTGTGGGTTCCATGTCTCCGGTCTCTGGTGCAGCACGCTGTGTTTGCTCAAAGGAAACACAAGGTACCTCCTTGCAAACATACGTGGAGTGGTAACCCTGGAATTCCAGGCACTGGCTTGAAATTCAGTATTGAGGCAAGAGATCTCTTCCTCATCAGAGCCTTGACAACAGCATCACTGTCTCACTCTTCTCTATGGACTCTCTAGTCCTTGGTTTTTGAAACATAGTGAACAGCACCTTCGCCTTAACCAGAAACTGTCCGTGTGGTACAGCTCCTTCGGGGACGCTGGGTCACAGTTGCCCCACCCTCGGTGACAGAAACATCGACTCTGAACCGGTACCACTTTGGGAGTTCACTGAGACGCTCTGACAGGTCTTCCTTAAGCATTTTTTTTTTTTAATAATCCTTAAAGTAAACAAATGCTATATTGTGTTGAAAGTTAACGTTCATAAAGTCAGGAAGGTACATCCTCAGCCATGTTATCCAACCGAAACTTTATTCCCAATCACCAGTGTCAGAGTTATGCTTTACAAGCTTTTTCCTCTCCTTGCTTCCCGAGGGAGGTGCTAAATAGGTGCAAACTAACACGGTTCAAGAGTTTTTACCCTGGATCGTGGGAGGATTAGCAGAGTAAGGGATGAGGGTAGATGCTTCTGGAAAGATAAGCTCCTATCATTTCAAGCAAGCTGTTTAAATGCTGTTTGTTGCCTTTTCAGAAGTTCCATTACAATAACTGATCGGACTTTATTTTTTTGCTTTTCTCTTCAACATCTTTCAGCACATCTTGCAGTTTCTTAGAGTTCTTTGTCAGGAATGCAAGGCTTTCTTTGAAGTTGCCGGTCCCGTGCTCCCTACAGATATTGTCAAACCCATCAAACCACTGCAAAATCTTCTCAAGCTCAGCCTGAACAGCTTTCTGTTCCTCCAGCTCTGCTCGCAGTGCCTGCCCAGCAGCCGCCTCAGCCTTGTACTGCTCCTGCAGCTGATTGACCTCATCCTGAAGCTCCTGGAACTGCTCCTTGGTGTAGGGGTACTGCGCGTGGACCTTGTCCTCAGGAAGGAGCACGTTCTTCGGGATGCTTAACACCAGCTGCAGAAGCACTTCTTCCATTTTACTGAAGAGTTTATCAAAGCGCTCCTTCATGAAGAGCAGAAATTTCTCTGTGCTCTTCCGGATCCGGGAGCGGCTGATGTTAGAGCCAGGTAACCCATCCAGCTTCTTCAGGATCACGCTCTCCACCACCATCATCATTTCGAAGAGATAATCCTGGAACGCGATGTAGATGCGCAGCATGCACGTCTGAGGGGTGAAGCCAAAGAACTGCGCTTCATAGGCCATGGGATTGACCGACATGGCGGCGGCCGGTGAGGAACGGACCGAGGAACGCCGGCCCCGGGGAGTACGGGCCTTGCTGCGGGCCGGAGGGCCGCGCCCGGAGCTGAGGGGAACCCGGGTCCCGCAGAAGGCCC